AACACCCGGGCTCGTGCTAGAGCCTCGCTTCTCCTGGCGCTCCTGGGGCTCCCGGGGCTCCCCGGGCTCCCGGGGCTCCCCGGGCTCCCGGGGCTGAGTCAGCAGCTGTGTCAGCGGCTGTTGGCTTGGATCCGACCATGAAAAGGAAAAACCCAGGAACCCAAACCCCTCGGCCCCCGGGAGGGCCGCCCCGAGTTCCATCCGAACGAGGAATTAGTGATCACACGCTTCGGAGAGGCCCCGCAGCCCGGCTCTCCTGCCGAATCCCCGGGGAGGGCTCTGGAAGCGAGGCCTTTTTAGTAGACAGCGTTCTGCAGTTTTAAAAACTCCTCTCAATTCCCAGAAGCGTGTGCTGTGGCAGGAATGCCCACCCACGTCTCGACCGCTCCGTGTCGAGTTAATTTTTGCGCAAACATCTAAGATCCAGATAACCCGATGCCGCCCAGGAGGGACGGACCTGCTCAAGGGGTGTCGTCTCTGGCTCCTGGCCGGGCCGGGTCGGAGCCGGCTCCGCGGAAGTCGCCACCATCTCAGGGCCCTCTTTGGGAATGGACGCATTTCAGATACTTTTAAAAATCAGGGTATATTTGTCTGCTCAGGGCGCCGTAACAGAGCCCAGCCTGGGCGGCTCAGACAGCAGGAGTTGATTCTCTCAGGTCTGGGCCGGGAAGCCCAAGACCCAGGCGTCGTCAGGGTTGGTCCCTCCTGAGGCCTTTCTCCTGGGCCTGCAGACAGCTGTCCTCTCCCTGTGTCCTCACGGGGTCACCCCTCTGTGTGTGTCTGCGGCCTAATCTCTTCTTAAAAGGACACTAGTCATATTGGGTTACACCCACCCATAGGGCCTAATTTTACCTTAATCCCCTCTTTAAAGACCCAACTCCAGATGGTCCTGTTCTGAGGCCCTGGGTGTTAGGACTCCAGCACCTGGATTCCGGGGGACACAGTTCAGCCCCCGATAGAGGGAGCGAGGTGTTCATCCTGCTCCCCCGGAGCCTCGGCTTCCTGGAGCCTCGCTGGCGTCTCCCCCTGGGGCACCCGCGTGCGGCCCCCGGCGAGTCCCCGCAGATCAGCCTCCCTCGGGCCTTTCGCTGCTCACCCCCCGCTCTGGACCAGAGCTGTTGAGAACATCCTTCCTGTTCAGCGGGATGCCCTGCTCTAGATTTAGAAAAAGGTGTCATGGTCCGTCTCCCTCTCTCTTTCCTCAAAGTCAATTTTTAAAAAGTCAGGGTGGGCTCTGCTGCAGGCACGAGTCCCTCTGTGTGACCGACCCACCGTCTTATTGGCCTGGGGACAGTATTTGGGCGTGAGTTCAGGGTCAGGGAAGCTGGGGCATCTTCTTAGAGGAGCAGAAAGACTTTTCCTTCACTCCAGAAAGCCCTGGGACACACGTTTTCGGTGAATCGTGCTTTTCTGTAGAGGGGCTCTCGTCCCCGGGGACTGAGTGGCAGCCAGACCAGGCTTTTTGAGGTCCGAGTGGGAAATACTCGCCCATCCCTCTCTGTGGCTGTGTCTTGGACCCTCACCCCCACCCCCAGCCTCGGGGTGCCTCCGTGAAGCTTGTTTTCCCTTCAACAACCACAGGTGTGCAAGCTCGGAGCCCCGCGCCCGTGTGCTCCGTGTCCCAGTTGGATGTGACAAAGCTGTGTTGTTTTAGAGCAGCTGAACCCCTTTCCCACCCCCGTGTGTCTTTTTAATCATTTTAAGCGATGTTTACTTTGGATTTCTGGATGTTAAATAAAAGCTACTCACACCCCACTGTGTCGTTGGCCGGCCGCCGTGGCCGCGGGGAGCCCACACCCGCTGTGCGTGCTCGGCTGGCGCCGATGGCTCCTCAGCCGGGGTTCGGGTCGGGGGACGCCCTGTGCTGTGAACAGGCCGCTGCGATTCTTCTCAGTAAAGGACTCGTGGGCACAGCTGTCGCCACCTCTGTTTGGCGGTCACCGGTTGTGGCAGCCCAGGACTTGGCGCCGGGCGCAGGATCCCCGCCCGGCGCCCACCAGGAGCCCGCAGGGGACGGAGCCAGGGCGCAGCTGTGTGGCGCGGGGCCCCGGTGGGCTGAGGCCCTGGCNCGCAGCTGTGTGGCGCGGGGCCCCCGTGGGCTGAGGCCCCGGGTTTCACGGGCAGGAGCCACTGGGAATGGGGTGCGGGCACAGCTGCGGGCGAGGGATCATGAAGAACAGGGCAGGACGTGTCGGCCCCCGCCTCCCAAGTCCCGGTTCCAGACCAGGCCGGGAGCTCCAGCTGGCCTGTGACATGGGCCGGAGGGCATGCAGCCCCAGGGCGGTGGACGGGACACCTGGGTGACCCGAGGTGGCAGCCGTGTCTTCCTGCTCCGCCTGGCCCACTGTCAGCCTTCCCCGTGGAGGTGACGGGAGGCTTCGGGGCATCGAACTTCCTCTCCAGGAAACGTTAACACTGACTGTGGAAGGGTGGCCCGGAGAGCAGGGCAGCGGTGCTATTGAAAAAATAATACAATACTGCCCTGGCCAGTTTCGCTCAGTGGTTAGAGCGTCAGCCCATGGGCTGGAGGGTCCCGGGTTCGATTCCAGCCAAGGGCACATACCTGGGTTGTAAGCTCAGTCCCCAGCCCCAGTTGGGGGCACACGTGGGAGGCAACCAATTGATGTGACTCTCACACTGATGTTCCTCTCTCTCTCTCCCACTCTCTGAAAAGCAATGGGAAGAAAAAAATACTAAAAATCATAGACTCCCTGGGAGGAATCTGGGCTTTGTTCCCGTGGACTGCTGTGAGTTCCCGTGGACTGGTTCCCGTGGGCTGGTTCCCGTGGGCTGGTTCCCGTGGGCTGCTGTGAGTTCCCGTGGACTGGTTCCCGTGGACTGGTTCCCGTGGGCTGCTGTGAGTTCAGTAGCCCACTTCCCAGAGTGACCCCTCCCTAGTTCCCCCTCCCTCCCCTAAGTCGGGGTGCTTGGCAGCCATGTCTGGAGACAGTTTGGGTTGTCGCAGTGGGGGAGGGGTGTCGCTGGCATGCGGTTGGGGTCCCTGGGTTGCTGATAAGCGCCATACACAGGACACACACGTCCCTCTCCCTCCAGCAGCGTCCCTTGGCCCCGGTGTCCACGTGCTGGTTGAGAAGTGGCTGGGCCCCGGAGCCCGCCCGGGCCCCCCTGTGCTTTGCTGGGTGGGAATCTCTATTCACACCAATGTCCGTCCTTTCAGGCCAACAGCCACAGCTGACCTTCCAGGGGCCTCCGGGTCGGTCCCATTCAGGGGACACTCACTGAGGGTCTGTTTTATCCGAGTGGCCTGTGACACAGCCAGGCCGCTGTCCTCGAGCCACAGAGAGAGCAAGACGCATGCAGGTAATTCACAGGGTTGGCTGGAGGAAGGAGGGGTCCAAGGAGCCGTGGGGAGAGGGTGGAGCCGGCCGGGGAGGGACATCGAGGACCTTCTGGAGGAGAGGAAGGAGAAGGGAGGGTCGCCCGAATCCTCTGTCTTTTACAGATGTTTTGTCTCCATTCTCTGGGTGGACACCCCGGTGTGAGCGGCAAGCGCTCAGGGAAGCCTCGAGCTCGTCTCCCCTCCCCGGGGGGCCTCTGCCCGGCGTAGGGGCCGGGGAGTTGTCTCTGCTCCCGTCAGGGTCCCTTTCGGCCTGTGCCTGGGAAACTGTGATATTACATGGCCACTTGCCCTCAGCAGGATTTGTCGACTCTGAGAATTTAGAGGGAAGGGACTTTCTGAGGGGGTCCCTTTAAGCCTCTCCCAGGCAGAGCCAGCTCAGCACTGTCGCTGACCGGGTCACCGTCGCCGCGGGGACTGGAGCGCACAGTCCTTCTGCAAGGACAGCTTTCTGTGCCTGGGAAGCGCGGATTTTGTCAGGTTCCATTTTAAGTGCAAATCCACTGTTTGGGGCATAATTTGGGTCAATAAATGGTTATTATCCTGACCACCTGCCAGGGCTGGGCCTTACCCTGGGGCGGGGTACGGGGGCCCCATGAGCCCAACACAGGAGGAAGTGAACGTGCCTTTTGTCAGTATTTATTGAGGCCCAACTGTGCGCCAAGCTAGGTCCCGGGGTGCAGGAGGGAACAAGGAACTGGAGGGTGAGGGACAGACAGACGGACAAGATCCACGCAGACGGG